TTCACCCATTAGTCCAGTGGAGTTAGCCCTGAAACAGGCCGAACCGGGAAGTAAATAGTACATTAACAAGTTTGGTATCAAAAGATAGGGAATTTGTTGTAGATTTACCAAAAAAACCCAAGAACTGATAACATGGGCAATTTTGTTTACACGGGTAGAAGTAAGGGGTAGTGTTTTTCGTACATTTTCGATTTTTCTTACATTTATATTTTGTAATTAATATTACTTACAGCCTACACATTATTTCATACAGATATTGCTAGTGTTTTCTATACACTTTTTATTTAGAAACTATCCGCCAGTTATTATAGGACAACAATTTGCTGATGTCAGCATTTTTTTTACAAAAATTTAATCCTGTCAAGTAGTCAACCAATCTTTTATTTTACCAGATACCTATCGGTATAACAAAATATCTTTCCTTTATTTCTAAGCACCAACATTTTAGGAAACTAAGCACTGTTTGAACTTTTAAGGACTCGTTTGTAATTTCCAGGGGTTTTCAAACACCCTGATATTCCCAAAATATAGCTGAATCATGTTACACAAGAAAGATTGTTATGGTAAGACTTGTATAAACACTTTGCTATGATTACTTCTCTTTTTCCTTTCTGTATAAATTGCTTTGTTTAGAGTAATCATATTTAATATAGTTAAAACAAGCCATTTGCAAGTCATTGCATGAATGTCAATCATAATAAATTGCTCAGTTTGTAAAGTCAATGTGACTTTCCTTATATGGCAACCAGACGAACCTTAAGTAGCACAAGATTATGTTGCAATTCTTTTGCTTTAAACACTTTCAGACTTGCTGAATGCAAACACTGACAACTTTTACCAAGATTTGAAGGCTTTTGTGCGTACTAAACGCGTCTTGTTTATGCTTGTGATAAATTTAGATTTGCGCGTCCCTGAATTGCAACATTGCAACAACAAAACTCAAGATCCACGAAGATGAGTGGATGCAACAGGTACAAGCCAGACTTCTCAGCATCAGCAATTTTACATGATTTCCACTATCATGCAAAGAATGAAGACCCTGAATCCGAAAAAAATCGGCTCATTAAAACAGCTGCACAACTTATTAAAATGATATAAAATCGTCCAGCACAACTAGTCATTTATACCCAAACACTGAAAAAATGCAAAGCACTAAGAAAACCATTTAGTATCTTTCATGGTATGAGCATAATAACGACCATAACACCAGGGATATTGTGGAATAACACCATACCTAAAGTTCATGTCACATCCAAGGATATAGTTTCTGTTGCAAAATTCAATATTAAGTATTATATGCAGTTATCAAAAGGCATGACCAAATTTAAGTATGCCCAGTTACCCAGTTTGATAGCAGGTGATGATACATTGAATGTGGATCTTCTGTGGAAAATCTCTTGGTTGTTACATCCATTTAGACCATCTTGGATTGGTTGGATTTATGCAAATGGTACATCAAGGTCCTCATCCTAGTGTCTCATCTAAAATGTTCATTCCAATCGATATGAAATCAACTGATGAACCATATATCTTTTTTGTGCTTCACCAGTGAACAAGCCAAGAAGTATGATGTAACACCAGTGCTCACCTTCGACCATCCTTTGTGGTGAAAATCACTGGAAATCCAACAGAATGAGCCCACAAGTAGTAGTGTGAGGAATATTGTTTTCAGGCTGGGTGGTCTGCATGTGCAGATGAGTTTTCTGGGTTGCATTGGACATTTGATGAGTGGATCTGGACTCATGAAACTATTGAAGACAATTTATGCCGAGAATGCTGTTGGACATATGTTGAGTGGCAAAGCCATT